AAGAGACAGAAGGGAGACTGGATTCCCTGCTGCTGTCGAGTGCGGTGGACGAGGGGTTTGTACATCTCATCAACAGTGCTCCTCCCTCCCTGGAGCCCATCCTGCGACTGAAGCAGTTCCTCATGCTGGACTCTGGCGGCCAGCCCGAGCTTCTGGAGATGATGCCCGTCTTCCTGAGGGGTGCGTCCAAATTCGTCTACGTCTTGAAGCTCCACGAGTCTCTTGACAAGCGAGCGACGATCCGTTACTTCAAAGACGGCAAGCTAGTGTGGGAGTACCCAGCCTACCTGACCAACGAAGGGACCCTGAGACTGTGCGTGCGGACCATGAGGTCCCTGAACAACAAGAACCCCGACATCCCTCCCGCCAAAATGATGTTTCTGGCCACCCACCGAGACATGGTGGCAGACGAGCAGCTGCCCGGAGTGCTGGACACTCTGCACAAGAGGCTGAGGGAGATCCTCTTGCCTCAGTTCAGGGAGCAGCTCATCTACTGCGATACGAAACGGGACGACTTTGTCTTCACACTGAATGCGGCAAAGCCGGAGAAGGAGGACAGGGAGTGTGCGGAGAGCATTCGGGAGTGTCTTAGTGAGGTGGGGGAGGGGGGAAGGGAGGTGAAAGTGCCGTTGCGATGGTACGCTCTGTACCAGAAGCTGCTGGAGGTGGCAAATGAACTGGGGAAGAAGGTGCTGCCTCGAGAGCTGTGCCAGAAGGTGGCAGAGTCGATGGAGATCGATGACGAGTCGTGTGGGGAAGCCCTGAACTTCTTTGACGGTCTGAACATGCTTTTCTACTTCCCCGACATCCTGCCCCAGCTGGTGTTCATGGAGCCACAGATGTTGCTGGATAAGGTCTCGGAGCTGGTGGAGGAGACCTACCACATGAGGCAGGGAAAGAAAGGCGTGTCGGGGGAGAAGCTGAGGTTCCGTGACCACGGCGAAGTGACGGAAAAGTTTCTGGGGCGAGTTCGAGAGCCACTACGAGCCACCTCTGTTCACACCCAAGGAGCTGGTGACCCTGCTAAAGGGGTTGCTGGTGTTTGCGGAGATGTCGGAGGACGTGTACTTCATGCCGTGTCTGCTGCAAGTGGTGGCGTGGAAGGTGGTGGAGGAACACCGAGTGAGTGGCGGGAAAGCCCTGGCTCTTCACTTCCCCGACAGCGGTCCCCTGATGGGAACGTTCTGCTCCACTGTAGCTTACCTCCTGTCCCCCGAAAACAGTCACCCCTGCCCCTGGAGAGTGGTTCAGAACGAGGCAGGAGCTCCGGAATGCCTCCATCGCAACGTCATGAAATTCACCATCCCCATCCCCAAATACGTCGGCACCGTTTCACTCATCGATCACTTCACCCACTTTGAACTCCACCTATGCACCCACCCCAAGAAGGCAGCTCAGCTGTGGAAACTGGCACACGACGCAGTGTTTGCAGGTCTCAAGAAAGCAGGGAAGACCATCGGCTACACAAACAACACTCCAGTCCCAGCCATCGTATGCCCCGCCCACCCCCGCCCAGCTAAACCCCACCCCGCAGTCGTGACAGATGGCGTCTGGGCATGCTCAGTCAACTCTGAAAAGTTTGGAGACATTGACGAGGACTCTATTCCATGGCTGACCCTCTGCACGTCTACCTGTGAGTGTGGAGGTCCACCCACTGAGGGCTCTAATTGGAACAGTCTCATTATGCTTTTCTCTTCTTTTCCCCCTACAGCTGCTGAGTCAGCCACGTCCTCTCTCTCCTCTTCATCTTCTGCAGTTCCCCCCACCTCCCAGCCTCCCCTCTCTGTCTCCACAGCTCCTGCCTCCTCTACCAACTGCCACCACTACTACCAACACTCCTGGTGAGTCCTTGCATCTCTATGTGCCCTATTTTGATACTCATTCTTTCATTCATGTTCCTCTACAGTGTCAGAGTGTTTCACAGTCTCCTCCCTACTGCCTCTGTTCCCTCTCTCTCCCTGTCCTCTCCTCCTGTCTCCACTACCACTACCAACACTCCTGGTGAGTCCTCTTGAACAATCAGATTTTGAGCATCTCCTATTTCACCCTTTACAGCAATTCATGAGAAGAAGAAAGAAGACGATGTGGTCAGTGATCGGGACCTTGCAGTAATTGCCAGGGACCACCTCACTGATTGGGAGAACCTCCAGCCATTCCTGGGACTCAACAGAGCTCAGAAGAAGGAGATCGCCAACTCTTACCCGAGAGACTACGGGAAACAGAAGAGGGAGTGTCTGGAGGTGTGGAAGGAGGAGAGGGGGAGAGAGGCCACGTACCGAGCCCTCATCTCGGCCGCAGAGGAGGCGAGGGACCAGCAGTTGGCTGACAACATCAGAGACATGTTAGAGAAGACGTGAACATTATACCACCAACCACCACTGTCTGTTGCTACCACCCACTGTCTGTTTTCTCCTTACCATCCAGCATTCACTGCACACTACACAAAGGCTCCACTCCATTCCATTCTCATTTCCCGTTCTCAATCTCACATTCATCACCAATGCGCTTCCTTTAATTATTCATCGCATCCGCGTGCACTGACTGACTACCGCATGCGCGTAATTAGTCGCTAGCACGCGGGAGTGATTCTGCTGGTGTTGCACACGTGGTGGAGCAGTGAGCAAACCTTCATCGTCGGTCCAGCAGTAGTAGAAAGTTATCCCTCTCCTCTGGCCTCGTCTCCATGTCCTCCTCGTCAACCGCTAGTGGAGACGACGGCTCCAGACGACAGCTGAGTGTCGCTAGAATCTTCTCAGACGAGAATGGAGAGACCCACTTCGGATCTTTCACCATCTCCATGACTGGCTCTGGTATAACTATACGAGTATGTATGCAGACGAATAGACGCAGAGAAAGGGAGATACGTTCTGCAAACGAGGGGCAATAATACTGAGAGGCTAAAGAAGGAGCGATATTGTGTTGGTGTGAATTTTAGTTTAGATTTTCGTTTCATTTTCATGCAGGAGACATTGGGTACCTGTCAGAGAAAGTGAGGTGTTCAGAGGTGATAGTATTCCGACATACCCCAGCCACATATGACTATTCCTGGCACAACGCTCCTCGCAGGCCAGTCCTCTTATCAGCTACTCTCTGAAATATAATATACTCTTTGGTGCTGAATTCAAGTTTTTCGTATTCTTCACCTCTCTCCCTCCCTCTGCCCCGTATTTCCCCAAGTCAGACAGTTCATAGTCAATCTAGATGGAGATGTGGAGGTTGAAGTCAGCAGTGGAGAGAAGAGAGTCATCACACGTGGTCAAGTCTTCTTTGTTGAAGATATCACAGGTTAGTGGTCTGTGTAATAATTAATGACCAGTGAAGCAAGCCTACCTAGTCACTTGAATTCGAGAATTTTCTAATAATTATGTGACAGGGAACTGCAACTGGCAGAAACATGTGCGAAATCTTCGCTTCATTCCCCTAGTATGATTGTTCGTGTTCATGTCCTATTGATTGCTCTGGGGGGCGTGGTCGATGGCCAAAGTGGTATGGCTACCACCAGAGAGTTATTCTCTCTCCCTCTTCCCTCTCTCCCTCTTCCCACTCTACCTTTTCCATCTGTCAGGAAAGGGACATTACTCCAGATCAGTAGACGGGAGGCCAAGACACTCCATATTCATCCCAGTTCCAGATGACTTTGTAGCTCCACTTATCACACATGCATCAGATTCACAATCAATATCATGAGTTTTAATAGTGGCTTTGTCAAACTCACGAGTAGGTGATTATTATGGTGGAACCCCTATAATCAGAACACCGGAATAAATTATCGATTAAATGGTGCTTTTCAGGAGTTCGAGTGTTAGGGAATGGTTTAATCAAGGGGCAATTAATTGTATGACTGTAGAAGAAAGATAATGTTGCTATTCCACACTCCAGAGTGTTAGAGATAGTTTGTTTGTCGTTTCAATTATTCATGTACCTGCAAAAAAGGCAAAATCGTTGACACCCGGAATAAATTATCGATTAAATGGTGCTTTTCAGGAGTTCGAGTATGAGGGAATGGTTTAATTAAAGGGAAATTATTGTATGTAGAAAGATAATGTTGCTATTCCACACTCCAGAGTGTTAGGGATAGTTTGTTTGTCGTTTCAATAGTTTGATTATTCATATGCCTTGCCAATCATTGACAAGTTAAGGAAATTTTACAATCATAAAAATGACACAAATGTACTGAAAAAATGAACGTGAAGGATATAAAAAGGCTCTGAGATTAAAATTACTGCAATACACTATTATACTGTATATACATAGAATACACATCTCTCATTCAAACATGTATGATGATAGGATTTAGTCTCTGGCTATTTAGCCGTACATGTCAGAGTGGTCTTGAGGAGGTTTTGCTCCCGCTGCAGCCATTCGATCTCTCGATTTCTCTGATTATCTCTGTCTTCTTCGTCTTCCTGAGGCCTTCGGTCACATCGAAAATCTATTGACTGGTACACCACTCTCGTTGCATCTGTCACCCCCTCTCCCTTCCCCCCACCTCCTCCGCTTCTCTGCGCTGGATGCAACAGACGTGGTTCGCTGATTGGATACACTGAGTATAGTTTGAGTCGACGTCTTCAGTGTGTGAGGAATCTCATGGTGGCATACTGAATTCCACTCACAGCACCGCCCGAATGGTTGGGTGTTTGTGCTCAAGACGCGGGGTTTTCGGAAGGGACTAGAGGTTTGTCGAACTGGAACTCGGGTGGCTGGGAGGACTGACGTGAAGCTGGACTGGTCTCGTCGTGGTGGTGAGCGGCCGGGGAATCCTCAAACTGCTGCGGGGGTGGGTGACTGATGAAACGGCTCTGGTGGGGACACGAGGTGGTGGTTTTTTAGCCGCCACACGTTCTCCCTCCTCTACTCCTCACTGCTGCGCTGGTGGACGTGTCACGGGCGGTCGTGGGGACAGTCGGCGAGAACGAGATCTCTCCCTTGATCCTCCCGGAGCCACACCCACTTCCTGTTCTACTGCCTCAGAGTTTGTAAACTTTAGTGTCTTCGGAAGTGGTCTGTTAATCGGTTGCCGTGGGCCTGGAGTGAGTGGCAGCGCCGAACGATTCGTCTAGTGGCACCGACTGAAGTGGGAGTGGCTTGCGACGAGATTGCGTCGCAGGGGAGCGAGGAAGGGACGAGGTGTCTTGGACCTGCGGAGGGAAATTCGTCCACTGCGAGGGGTGCTCATTAACTGGAGTACCGACAACAGGGGTACCGGACTCACATCCCCCCGGATCGGAATTGTGACGCAGGCTACTGGTGGTATCGGGTCCAGGAACTCGACTACCTCCATTCCCACCGTTCCTCCTCCACCCCTCAACATGACCTCGATGTACTCGTAGGTGTGGGAGTGACCAAGAACACCGATTTTCCTCTCGTATGGAATCGACACTTTCCCTCCCCGTTTGGTGGTGTTGGCCCCGCCCACAGACTCCTCCATCTTTTCCCCAGTAGGCGGAGTCATCTCCTTTGCACTCAGTTGATCGTAGAGTGGCTGGGGGCGAGGGGTGTTGGAACGAGAGAGGTTCTCTGGACTGGGGCTGGCAGTGGGGGAGAACCGAGTGGACTGGCTCCCGGATGAAGTCCTCACCAGCTCCAGGTGGTCGTAGCGAGGAGCTAGCGACGCAGCCGAAGAGACTGGAACAGTTCTCCCGTGCATCTGGGAGTCAACGGTAGCGTAACCCACAGTGTCTGGGTTGACAAGAACTTTATCATCGTCGTCATCGCCTTCTTCCTTGTCGGAACTTTTCTCCGGTTTCCTTGGGGTGGAGTCAGCAACATCTGTGCTCTGTGTGCGGGTAACTTGTCCGTTGGCCACACCCCCTCCTCCGCTCCGCCCGATGGACTTTGACCCCGCGGCGGTGGCGAAAGAGGGAGACTGGAAGCTACTGAGAGTGGCATGAATCCTCCTGGACTTCCCCTCGTGGCCTCCCTCTCCCTCTCCCCTCCCCCGGTTGGCGGGGAGACGAGGCACAAACAGGTTGTAGTACTCGGGTAACAGGTCAGACCGGTTTGCCTCCTGTTTACCGCCGACTTCCTTCAGATCGTAACTGGAGAGAGACGGCTTCAGCTTCGGGTGGAGAGAGAGGGCGAGGTTAGAGGTCACGGCGTTTGTTGTTGTCGATGTTGTCATGGTTACGGGGGTTGCCGTGGCGTCACAGGAAGGGGAGGAGTCTTTGTAGCTCATTGCTCCAGATCTGTCTCTGTGGGTGTGGAGAGAAGACAGATATCATGGCATGGTATTGCTCAAAATCCTAATATAGTTCTGTTCTTGTAAGTGCATGCACATGTGCATTCACTCAATTTGTAAGTGGGGCTTCATGTATGATTACATCATCATTACATCATACCTGGAGAGAGGTGGAGCACTGACTTTCCTTCTGACATCGCCAGCTCTGTAGGGAGAGAGACATTAGAACATGGAGAGGAGTAGGAGAACCCAATGTTGTGGACTATGACATCATCCCAATACTGACTGAGTTGCAAGTCGAAAGCCGTCTGCTAAACTGAGCAATCAGTGACCAATGATTTTTTAACATGTTACTGATGGAATCCACAAAGGACAATAGCTACTATACCAAATGCACAAAAGTGTTATCCTACAAATGTTTTTTTTTCAACTGTAAGTGACACATACCTTGCCAGTGGTTTTGAGGTCCCTCCGATCCTAGCCCCGCCCCCTCTGCCCTGCGCAGCCTCGAGGGCAAACTCGACATTAGTGTAGTTGTGAACCACCTCGCTCAGGGAGTCCAGGGCTGGGATAATTGGCAGGGGGTGCCCCACCGTCCCGGAGTGGACCCGACTGTGGACCGGAGCGCTGCGGAACGAAAGAATGGGGAATTGAATTTTAGACACGATTTCTACTAAACATTGTATAGACAGGTGTATGTTTAAAGGCAAATGTGGTGAGTTCGTAAACTAATAAGAGAACTTCAACCTCAAAGTTTTCTTCTAGCATACCTAAAGCTCACACCATAATACACGGTATATTTGTGCCAACTACATTTGACAAAATTGTAGCACATCCAATTTGTAGATTTCAAGGACCACATGTAAAAGAGAGAACCCCAAATATCCAGCTGCGATATTCACTGACCTGTCGGTGTCTTCCATGTATACATTGGCAGTAGTGATACTATCAGACCCTCTTTTGCTCATGAAGTCAAGGTTTTGATACAACGCAGCCTCCTCTCTCCCTCCCCCCTTCCCCATCTCCCCCTCTCCCCCCACGTGCCCCCCGTTGGGGGTCCTGTGAACTACCAAATTCTCCCCCTCGATCATCATCATTGGTCTCTGTTGTAGAGGCAGTCTGAAGTAAGCGTCACTGTAAGAGTCCGATGTTGAACTAGAGACTGTCTTTATCGGAGGAGGGGGGACGGGTGCAAACTCTGAGAAGAACGTGTCATCTTCAGGGCTGAGGCGAGGGGGCGAGGAGGAGTTGGTGGAGGGGTATTTCTTTAGTGCTAGCGGAGGAGACACGTTGTAGTAGCCGTCTGGTACCGGTTCCGAGGGTGGAATGGGGTACCGGGTACCGCCAGGACCGGACCGGTGCAGTTTGGTAGGGGAGTGGGGTGCACTGCCACTCCGGCCTGGTATGTTCTGGTACAGTCGCTGTTCGTCGACCTTCGCGAGAGCGGGAGAGAGGGGGGCGGGGTTGTTGTTGCCGGGTCCCTGTCGCTGGGCGTGGCCTGCCAAAGAAGGGGTGCAGTCATCGTTGGCAGAGTTACGGCGATTAGGTGGTAATGGAAGGGGCTTCCCCAATTTCATCGCTGCTTCACATATGGCTTCCTTGTTCTCGTAGGTGGGGCTGAGGGTGGAGCTCTGGAAGGCGGAGTCGGACCCCTCCCGGTCCCGCCCGGCTCCGCCCGACGTGGACTGGAGACTCAGCCGACTCGGGGACTGGCGATACGGACTGTGGTGGGTGTGGTTTCGCTCCAGGGTCATGCGGCGACCCACGCGGTCGTCGCTGAAGATAGGCTTGTGTTGTGAGAGATCGTTGAAGAGACTTTTGACTCTGTCGTTGTCATCTGTCTTGATGGTGTAGAGCATCTCCCCGGTTGGGCACTTGGAGCCTGCCAAGAGAGAGAGAGGGGAAGTATTTTTACACAGACTTATGTGAGGTGTCCTTGTTGCAGGGGTTGTACTTCATGCAAGAACTGTTCATAAATAATAGAGATGTCCCCATTTCAGGGGTGTCCTTATAGAGGTGGGTTGAACTATCCAAACATCCTGCATGATATAACAGCGTCTTCCAAGGCCTTGTGTACATTGATGGCGTGATGATATTTGAACAACAACACTATATACATTGTAGAAAAGGCCTGGGAGTGAATTACAGTGGCCAATAGAGTATATCGGTATGCTTTATATACTGAACTTTCAGTGCATTAACACAAAACGAGCACTCGTCTGCTCACCTGTCTGAAATTTGAAAGAGGAGGATCCTCCGAACTTGCGGATGTGGGTGATCTGCCACGTGCCCATGCAACGAGGTGGACTGTCGCTGGTTGTTATGGTGAATCCCGTGTTCCGTATCCTCAGGACACCACGCCCACTCTTCAGCTGCCCATGCCTCTGAGGTATCACTATCCCAAATGTCAGCTCTTTGGGGAGGGAAGAGAGAGAGGAAGAATATAATTATAGCTAGAGACATTCACTAGTTGTCACTTATTGTACCTTAAAATGTGTGCATAATCAATCAATCTACATCTGTGCGTTATCAATAAACATAATCTACATCATCAATAAACACAATCTACAATTTGTGCATAATCAATAAGCATAATCGCAGAAACTAAAGTGTGTCTATTCATGCTCACATCAGTTCAGAGACGTTGGAAGACGAGCGAAGGGAAATCAGGAAGGAAGAACTAAAACCACAGACACAAACAAATCCTCAAAACAGGGAATCGTGGGAGTCAAACGTGCTCTATGAAAGAACGTTACGTAACAGTTCGTAATTTCCCTCCATTTCCTATGGCAACAGTCATGATTGGAGTGTAAACCTGATATATATCATATTCCCTTTGACATTATCCGACCACCACACAGAACGCTGTATGACTACTATAGTACCATACATTAGGGTGTGCATAATGCATCGCATGGTTTCAGCGTACTAACAACAATGTGAGTGGTTCCGATGGTCTTGACTTTGAGGCTTGCCGGCTATGGTATGATATGATTTACCACTGCTAGGTTTCGCTAAAATAAACAATCTTTGAGTCAACAATTTGCCAGCGCGCTCTAAGTTCTCACGTAAGTTTCTATTACATGTAATATGGCAAGGGTGACAGAGGAGGGAGGATAAGACCTGGCAAGGGTGTCAGAGGAGGATAAGACCTGGAATGTAAAGAGGCAGTCACTATATATTGAAACTAAACACGCTTGGCAGGCACCATACATACATCACGTCATTCTAATACTCCACTCTACCGTTGTACATGGCATCATACATTAGTTGCCACCAGATAAGGCTCTTTTTGAAGGCTCCGCGGATAATTTGGCTGATTAGGATGTTGACTGTGAGTGACATGCCACTGTAATAGGCTCAGGCTCTGATGTTCTATTTCACTTCCATTAGCAGTGAAACACAGGAGGAGGGAGGGGAGGGAGGGGAGGGAGAGGAGGAGGGAGAGGAGGGAGAGGAGGGAGAGGAGGGAGAGGAGGGAGAGGAAAGAGAGGGGGAAAATGAACAGTCTATACCAGTTTCTAAATTTAGCCCTTGTCTATAATTATACTGCCACATTCCCTTTAATCTTGAATTCATGGGGTTGACAACCCCCCTCTCATTCATCTCCCCCACCTTTCCCCAAGTATTCCTGCAGCAGCGATGTCCACTCTGCCAGATCCTCGACACCATCCGTGGAGAATGAATCAGTCACACTTGTGGTGATGATACTGAACACGTGCTTCTCGGAGTCAACTTTGGCAGCGCTCTCGATTCCACCAAACTCTTCGATTGGGATCTCCTTCACTTCGTTGGCAGGCGAGGGTGGGCAGTCCTTGTGTATCATGAACTGGAGACGACCCCCGCCCGAGATTTTGAACACGACGTAACGATTTTTCCACTGTGGGGGGTGAGAGGGAGGGAGGAGGTGAGAGAGGGAAGAGATGGAAGAGAGGGTGAGTGGGAAAGGGGGTACAGTGGGAGAGAGAAAGATGGAGTTGAAAGGAAAAAGAGTAAGGGCGGAAGGAAGGAAGAATGGTGAATGTTAAGCCATGTTTTCGCCAAAACAGAAGACATGATGAAAAAGAACTGAAGTCGAAATACTGAATAGTCAGAAAACACACAAATATTACATCACTTTGTTTACATATGTACGTCTCCACACTGAGCTTTAGCTACCTTCGCAGTATCTACATATCTCTGTAATCTCCAAGAATACTAGATCAGTAATCTGTCTGTGCCTACACTTACACACTCCTTAGTATACTGATGGTGAAGTCTAACTTCAGTAATCTCAGAATTCTCGTCTAATCATTAGATCCCTAAAAATATACGAGTTCTCTTAGATTTTTCTAAGTGAACAAAAGGACTGCAGATCCTTGCAAAATTTACACAAACTCTCATTCCCTCCCTTCAAAAAATCCCCCCTAGTCTTTAAAACATTTCCCCCGAGTGGTTAAAAAATCCCCCCCACCCAGTTCAAGTAAATGGATGTAGAGCACATGTTAGCATGTGATGACCACATGTAGTAGGACATACTATAGGGGGGCCCACCACTGCTGGTTTTGGTCAGAGGAATTTCAGGAATGTTTGGCTCCCCGCTTCCATTAGTGGCAAGAACAGGACATCCACTAGTGCCTTTCCCATGAATTATCACCACCTCGATCTAACAGGACAGCCTCGTTTCCCATAACAGGACCACGCTTGGGGAGGCGTCCTGAAAAGGTGTCCTGAGTAGTAAGGTGTCCTAATCAGTAGGCATTATCGTTATATGCTGTCCTGAAAGTGTGTCCTGATCGCGTGTCCTGAAAAGGTGTCCTGAAAGGGTGTCCTGATCGCGTGTCCTGAAAGTGTGTCCTGAAAGGGTGTCCTGATCAGTGAGGCATCTTAATATTGCATTTTGTCCCCAAGATGCCAAAACCCCTTGCCTACTACATAAATGAGTGAGTAATGCATTGTGATTCATTGCTCAAATGGTAGGATTGCTGTTTTTGGCAAAAGAAAGTCATTCCATCATCTACACACACAACCAGCTGGACAATAACGGGAGATGGGGGGTAAAGTTCGCGTAAATGACGTGGCATTACAACACACCCTTTCAGTCAGTATAGTGCCTTTAATGCAGTGAAAACTAAACAACAGAAGAAGGGAAAGAATAACAGAACGAAGTATAGATGCACAGTAGGCACATGGGCAGATGATGATGTGTCGTTTTCAAAGTAAAACTAGTGATTTGCCAAAAGAGAAAGCCAAGTATTTCACTTTCAAACAAAACCCTTTTGGACAAGGAGAGGGAGGAGAGAGAGAGAGAGAGTAAAATGCTACGAACATAATATTGCAAAGTCTTTCTAATCCCCATCAAGAAAACGAGCATGTGACGGCATCAATGCATTTGGTAATTCCTATGAGGTGTACATATATACATACATACACATACAGTACGGATGCTGTGAGGCATATATCAAGTATCAAAACATGTGGCATTCAGTAATCCCCACCGGCATGGATAAGGCATCATAACACAGATGTATAAACATGCCACACACACATAGAGAGAAAGATGGCAGGCAGAGAGGGAATGGGAGAAGAGGTGTTTAAGAATGAAAGACAGAGAACTGTTGTGCCAGTAGAAGCCGTGGCTATACCATCGGGGGATTGTACCAGTCCAAGGTCTTCCTCTGCTTCTGTTCTCTCTCTGACTCTCATTAAAAGATTGCCAGGCCTCCCAATAAGGACACCTCCCAATGTATAAAGGAGACTTGGTTCTGCCACACAATTAATACACTTAACACCTCTAAACACTCTCAATGTCCCCAAGGTGCCCCTTATTCAGAGGTACCGTGTGTGGTTACACCTCAAACTAATTCCCTCTCCTTCCCTTCCCTCACCCCTCCCATTTCCAGGGAATGATTAAAACTGGGAACTAATTTAACGCTTCATTACATCCGGAAACACAATTTCCAAGAATAATTTACATCCTCAGATTTTATGGTAAGTTTCTCAAATTAAGATTGATCCCATTCCACCATGTTGATCACCCCCCATCCCATCACACTATCCCTCTGCCTGGTGTGCCAATCTCAAACTCTATATAATCGGTGGTGAGTGGACTTCAACCCAGCAGTATTATATACCCTGGTGGGAATTTAACCCTCTTCACTCTGCTAGACAGCAGTATTAAATCCCTGGTGGGCGATTTAACCCTCTTCACTCTGCTAGACAGCAGTATACACCCTGGTGGGAATTTAACCCTCTTCACTCTGCTAGACAGCAGTATATACCCTGGTGGGAGTTTAACCCTCTTCACTCTGCTAGACAGCAGTATATACCCTGGTGGGAATTTAACCCTCTTCACTCTGCTAGACAGCAGTATATACCCTGGTGGGAGTTTAACCCTCTTCACTCTGCTAGACAGCAGTATATACCCTGGTGGGAGTTTAACCCTCTTCACTCTGCTAGACAGAGCGCTCTACTACATGAGCTATTACACCAGTGTTCTCCTGAAAGCCACAACCCACTAATCCTCCACCCACAACTCTCTCTCACACGCAAACACTAGTGGTAAAAGGGAGTGAATCGGCAGGTTTTGACCAGTGCTCACTGCGGGCGGCTCTCTGGAGAAGAGATAAGCTGGCCAACGGAGCTGCCAAAGTCACTCCCACACTACCATGGCTATATGGACAAAGGTATTTCATCAGGGGACTGTGGTGTGTGGTGTATTAGCTGAAACTGGACGTGTGACGGCAGTTGGTGTTTCTTGTTTTTCGTTTCACTCTCGTATTCAGCAAAAAGAGAGAGGGGGGTCGTGGAGCTCCTCTAATCCGGACACCAATGGGACAGAAGAAAGTGTGCCTATATTAGAGAGGTGTCCTTGTTTCAGGGGTTGAGAATTGCATGCAAGAGCTGTTCTTGGGGAAAGAAAAGGTGTCTTAATTTCAGAAGTGTTCTACATCAAGTTCGACTTGCACTCTCTAAAATGTCTGAAATTTTTCTTAAAATCGTGTTCATATCTAAACACCTGTGTGTCCTTGTTATCCCCAAAAACCCACATGGCAACTTTGTATGGTGACTTAATTCTAAAGATTCAGATACCCACTTTGAATGTCTACAATATGCACGAGTCAAGGTGTGGGTTCAATCTCTAACATACACAGTATGTAGTTTTAAGAGAAGCTGATGGGATGCAGTCTAACATTGAGATTTCTTTGGAAGGTCTTCGTGATCGTTTGTTTGTTTGGTCACAGCACAGGAAGTATTCCCATGGAGAGGAGCCCCTCTCTAAGAACACCGTTAAAATGAGGACACCTTTTCTTTCCCAAGAGCAGTTCTTTCAACCCCTGAAATAAGGACACCTCACTAATATGGACACTTTCTTCTGTCCCATTGGTGTCTTGATTGTTCCACTGTAGAGATGACAGGGAGAGGGAAAGTAAGAAGAGACGGAAGAGGTGAAAGGTCATTGCCAAGACTGCTGACAATTATCACCATCTTGACTTGTAATGGCTGAAGAGGGGCTCAATTACCTTGCCCTGGGCGCGAGAAGTCAATGTGGGTACTTTGAACAATGTCTGCATTACCACTCTCCATTCAGACTATCATACATACGTCTCTCACCACACACCCTCACACCCCTCACACCCTCACACACACACAGGCAGCTCTAGTCACATGTCGGCTTACTGAAGGAACTCTATGTCTTCCATACAGGTTATATAATATGAACCTCACACAATTTAAAACAGAGAGTGAGTGGAAGAAAAACACGAACCTCCACCAAGGAACACTCGGTGCACCATTCTCCCTCTCTGCACACACAGGGGTAAACTGAAACAAAAGTGTGTTAAGTAAACGGTTGTTACGTTTTTCCTTCTACCAACCCCTGAAGTAAGGACACTTCGCTAACATGGACACTTCCTTCTCGTCTGGGTTAGAGAGGTTCCACTTGGTAATACAGCTAGGACACATGTTGTCAGCAGAAAGCCATCAGGTGCACCGTCAGCCAAGCTGATGTACCAGCCACTGCCTTGTTCATCTGCCGGTGCATCTTAACTGCCTTTGTAGTCTGCGAACTAGCAGTAGATTGATTGGCGACAAAACGAATTAACCATCTGCTGTCCTTTCTCTCTCTCCCCCGTGCCACATATCTGAGCCTGTTCGCAGTGTGGAGACTGCTGTACTGCCGTTTGTGAGAGTGGTTGGCCAGTTTCCAGAGTGGAGGGTAATTCCATGGAGCAGGGAGGGCAGAGTAATGGAGGGAGAGAGGGAGAGAGGGAGAGGGGGAAGGGGAGTCGCGTTGTTTTGTTCCCAGGGGAACCACTATGTGAATCTATGGGAAGAACCCAATTGGTGACGTCGGACTCCACAATTTCAAGGTTAATTACATCCGATTACAATATGCACCCTACTAATATTAATATTTCACTTATCACAACATCGTACTACTGCGGAAACAATGCACCATACTTCATATGGGGATGAAGGCCACCCACACCTGACATAATATAGAGAGACGTAGATTTGTACCGGTTAAATATGGAGCAAGTGTGTGTATTAACAGACAAAAACATGCAGGATAAGTAGCTACTGGCAGTATCAGCTAATAGGCAAACATACACACTTGTACTTACATACAGAGAGAGTGACACTAACATTGCATCGCATGTAAAGTAATGCGAATGCTGCCTTACAAAGTATAACACCGACAAGTCTAGAGCAATGCACTTACAAGAGTGTGGTATAAGGTAATATATAGAGCATGGTGAGATGGGGGAGAGTAGGGCAAACGTTCTGTAGATGGTTAGGTAACCCAACACCGCACATCAAGCTAGTTAACTGAAGTGCCGTAAGGAGTATACCCGTGTACACGGAGGATATGTGTATGGAGGGAAAACTCATTCCCAATTGAGAACTTCCCAATTTGTCTGCAACTGTAGTGAGCCTCACACCACATCTAACCCTCCAGCTCAGCTCAGCTGGATACACAATACACAAGGACTAGCAGCTACATACATAGCTAGCTGAGCCAGCTGCTACCCCACCCTTTTCCTTAGTGTGCCTGCCGCCGCGCGCTCTTTCCCTCACAACCGCGACCCATTGGAGCCAGCGACAACATCTCTACACACACACACACACTCTTCCACGAAGTACATGTATCTACTTACCCGCGCCAAGGTCCCGGTTTGACGGTGTTTGAGAGTGCCCTCCCGTAGTATCTTCTCCCTAAAGTCCATGTCTGCAGCGCAACTGTCTTCTAGTCTCTGCCAACACTAAGAAACTACTGCACACGAACTGGCAATTCTCGTGTTATGTAGTAAAGAGAGCTGGCCAACGAACCGCAAAGTCATTAGATATAATTATATTCATTTGTTTAAAGTGGGCGTGGTGTGCGCATGCGTATACAATCAACTGCGCGTGCGCAGTAAGAAGGGGACTATTTTATGAAAAGTGGGTGTTTCCTACGCTTGCAGTCGTCGGCAGTCGTTCGTATCCAGACGCCCTCTCAAGGTACGGCAGTGTTCAACTGTGCAACGTTTCCCCAGCTACACAACTTAGTCCGAATTCCTGGAGAGCAAGTAGCTAGTGGTCAGTGTCGGAGATATTGTTTACAACCGCTGAAGATCTACAAGTGAGAGAGGGGCTGAGGTGAGCTGGTAATGTGTTTGCATAAAGCCACCGCGCGGCTAACTCTCCCCGCTAGCTTCGTAGTAGCTAATGCGGACGGCAGACGGCGGTGGAAAGATGGGGCGCAGCCGCGAGCTGTGACTAAACTTAGCCAAACGCTGGTCGTTCTGCAGTGGCGGTTTCTCTAAAGCCTTCCCTAGCGAAACTTTGTCTGGACTGGTTGAAAGAGCGAGCATCCCTTGTTGCTTGTTTTGCTGCCGTGGTGGTCTATCGAAAGCATTCTCTGTTGATTTTTCATTAGAGATTGGCTAGCTAGTATCGTAGGAGCAAATAGATATACACATGCACAGTCATTCTGAATTATATAGAACAGTTGATACGTATCACTAGCCAATGACGTGGGGGAATGACCGCTGATATTTCCACTCTCTCCCCTCCCCCACGCATTCTCTGTAGTAGTGCTTTCATTGCCCAGTCCCATTTACTGTTTCTATAGCTACTTAGCTACTTGTTAACTGATATAGCAGAAAGATTTTTAATGGTCCTCGAGAGAAGGGGAAAGGAAATAGGCATAATTATAGCTACTGCTCACCTTTGGTATTGTAATTTGTATACAAGTAGTGAGTGACAGCTAAAATGGTTAGTGCACTGCACATTTCAGGGTTATAAAATTTGTAGTAGGTAATTTGTGATCCTGTCAAGGAATTACGATGACTGTAGATCCGTGATCCCTCGCATGCAATAATTACAGCACTGCTGTTGGCCTTGGCACATTGAGCGATCATACACTTCAGGTATGTTAATAACCACTAGTTCTGTATCAATGTTAAGACACATGCCAGTAAGCAATACTAGTTAACCAATCTTGATCCACAGTGGTAAGCATGCATCAGGGGGGGTGTGCTTGTCTAATGAACAACAATAAATGCATTTCAAAACACACTTGTTTTTGTAAATATCTGTTGGTTTGTTATTCACTGTATGAGGTGGCCTCAACTAGACAGCCCAAGGATGGCTATGTGCACTGTGGCTGTGGCGTTCGTTGAAAGTGTAGCTGACTGGGTTTACTAAGTGTAGTGTGAATGGTGAGGTGTTTCCATAAAGTTTAGCTGTTTAGGATTCTATGAGGGCTAGTTATGTGTCTAAATTATTCACAATTTACCTAGCTAGCTCTTGGAAAAGATCTGGGAGGGGGGTAGAGAGAGAGGGGGGAAGAGAATGGAACAAATATGGGTTGTGCTATGCACTTGTGAGTACGTCAATTCGCAGTTCACTGGTTACAGTCTGCAACCACACATCACACCACTAGCCTCACACTACTCCGTATTATTATACTGGACAACAGAGGTATATGAACATTAAACCCCACGTCTCATGGGAATAGTCAGATATGTGTAGGATCAGCTATGAGGTCTGTATTGGTACAACAGACAACAGATTTCCTTTGACATATTAGTTTACGTTGCTGTTACCAACAATTTACATGATCTTTATTAAATCCGGAGAATATATGATTTTTCTAAGATACTGTTTTAGCTGAGAGATCAGTGTGTTAAAATATCATCTATTACACGTTTAAAGTATATAGGGCTCTATTATTTGTGGGTAGTAGAGGCGGTGGTATATATGAGATTGATTGTTATGTGGACTATTCACTGCAGGTCACCATGACAACAGGCCACGTTCAAGGTCGCAGGATGCGGTACCCTGAACTGGAGAGTCGCTACGAACTCCACGAGACTCTCGGCACTGGTGAGAAAAGGGTTAAACAACTGGTTACGAGCAATCGCTAGAAACACACTCGCTCTCTCTTTTTTCTCTGTACAGGTGGGTTTGCAAAGGTCAAAGCAGCTGTCCACAAGCTCACGGGTGAAAGGGTATGCTGATTTTTCCCCTCTGATAACCTCACACACTTGATTGAGAATCACGGTGCTTTAAATGATGTCAAGTCAATTAACATCTTTGACATTGATTCTTGACCACTTGAGTTCGTTTCCTGGGCCTGACGTAATGCGCAAACATTGCGTCTTTTCCTTGAAGGTTCTGTTTGCAAGACTACATCTGAGTGTCACTGGCATATCCCTAGATCATGCTTTGTTTTCTCACATTCACTTGTTCAGTATAATATACATCTACAGTTTCTCTTCTTCTTTTACTCTATCTCTCTCTAACTCGTGCAACCCTTTCCTCCCCACACAGGTTGCAGTGAAGATCATGAATAAGAAGGGGCTAGGGGTAAGCAAGCATAGCAAGCACCACCTCCAGCCACACGGACTATGTTGAAACTAATTCATGATACTAGAGACGTAACAACATCTGCTGAGAATGCATGTGGCGCTCTGGAGGGAGATGAATAATGCTACCCTCATGTGAATATGAGCCGTTGTAATCAGGAAATGAGCAATCACCTGTTATGATATGCATGCTGTCATGCAGCATCATAACTAGTCATGTTTTGTTGTTTACCTGTTGTAAACTGGTTAACTCCTTTCCTGCAGATTAAGGTTTAATCCTTTATTTCCTTATTAACCCTCTGCATGCCGACCATGTATATACATACAGTATCATATTTCCACATTTGTCCTTTGTATTCTCATTTCCTGAGAGTGTTTTCAAGTGACGTCATTCAGCACTGATTGCATTCCTAATTACTGGTTTAACTCTTTTGATACACAGTTCATGTTAACTCTCTGCACATTGACTTTCCCGAGAGAACGTAGCCAATTTAGTATCATATAATTAGAGGATTAATGCAGTATAAATATTTAACTCTTTTATTTCCACGTTAACCCTCTGTAGGCTGATCTTCCGAGAGCATTCAGAGAGATTGGTTGTCTGAAGAAACTGCGACATCAGCACATCTGTCAACTGTACGAAGTAATCGAAACACCAGAAATGATCTACCTCGTGATTGAGGTGGGTGTCACATGATCCACTTAGTAGATCACATGACCCAGCTACAAAGTCACATGATCCAAATGACCTAGCCAAGAGATCACATGACCCAGACACTGTACATCTTATTAGCTTATTTTATGTTGTCTTGTTTTTTCTTTTTCTCCAAGCTTGTTGTGTATTATTACACAACAACAAGGACTAACAAACGCAGAAATTTTTGTAAGAGTACACATAATTTGGTTTACTTGTTGGGTTTGAGGCTAATGGTACAAGATATGCCGGTAATCTACACTAATTTCAATCTTAGAGAGAAAGGGGGACCAACCCACGTCCATAATCTTCTCTCTCCCTCCTCTTTCTTCCCTACCCAGTCCGTATCTCGTCTCTCCCTTGCTTCCCTACCCACGTACAGAATCTCTCTCCTCCTCCTCTTTCTTCCCTACCCACGTCCATAATCTTCTCTCTCCTCCTCTTTCTTCCCTACCCACGTCCGTAATCTTCTCTCTCTCCTCTTTCTTCCCTACCCACGTCCATAATCTTCTCTCCCTCCTCTTTCTTCCTACCCACGTCCAAATCTTCTCTCCCTCTCTTTCTCCCTACCCACGTCCATAATCTTCTCTCTCCCTCCTCTTTCTTCCCTACCCACGTCCGTAATCTTCTCTCTCTCCTCTTTCTTCCCTACCCACGTCCATAATCTTCTCTCTCCCTCCTCTTTCTTCCCTACCCACGTCCATAATCTTCTCTCTCCCTCCTCTTTCTTCCCTACCCACGTCCGTAATCTTCTCTCTCCCTCCCCCTTTCTTCCCTACCCACGTCCGTAATCTTCTCTCTCCCTCCTCCCCTTTCTCTTCCCTACCCACGTCGTAATCCTCCCTCTCCTCTCTTTCTTCCCTACACACGTCCGTAATCTTCTCTCTCCCTCCTCTTTCTTCCCTACCCACGTCCGTAATCTTCTCTCTCCCTCCTCTTTCTTCCCTACCCATGTCCGTAATCTTCTCTCTCCCTCCTCTTTCTTCCCTACCCAGTCCGTAATCTTCTCTCCTCCCTTCCCTCTTCCTCCCCCCCGCACTATAATAGTTCTGTCCAGGAGGCGAGCTATTTGACTACATCGTGGCTAAGGAGAGACTGAGAGAAAAGGAGGCGCGGTCTTTCTTCCGACAGATCCTCTCGGCTCTCAGATATGTCCACGACAGAGGATTCATTCACAGAGATCTCAAACCGGTCAGTCCGGTTTTGATCCCTTCATCAAACCAGTCAATCTGGTTTAGTAGATCTCATAGATCTTTTTCAGTCCGGTTTAGTGCATTCACACTTGTCATCCGCAGTGGTTGGCTTATAAGTGTAAGAGTGTTAGCACAAAGAGCCTTTTTACTGGATTAGAAATGACTGATGTTCATTCTGTCCTCAAACACCCATCCATTACCTTTACAGGAAAACCTGTTACTGGATGAGAACTCTAATATCAAACTCATAGACTTTGGTCTCGTGGCAGAACCTGACGTAAGCAATGTACCTCTCTCTCCTCTTTCTCTCTCTCTCTCTCTCTCCTTCCTCATTCTCAGCAGAAGACTAACTCTCTCTCTCTCTCTCCCCTTCCTCATTCCCAGCAGAAGACTAACTCTCTCTCTCTCTCTCTCTCTCTCTCTCGCCTTCCATGTTACAGGATCCACAGGATTTGTTGGCCACTTGTTGCGGGTCTCCTGCCTACGCTGCTCCAGGTATGGCAAGCCCATTGTCCCACTTCAGTTTAGTAGCTGACACACATACTAGTCAACATGTAATACTCTCTCATTTGAGGCAAAACTGTGAATTTTCCAGTGAAAAAACACCAATGGGACAGAAGAAAGTGTCCATATTAGTGAGGTGTCCTTGTTTCAGGGGTTGAATTGCATGCAAGAACTGTTCTTTGGGAAAGAAAGGGCTGTCCATATTAGAGAGGTGTCCTCCTGAGTTAAAACAACTGTTCATTGACATGACTTCGTTTTCTCAATGATCGTTAGAACTGATTAGAGGAGGCCCCTACATCGGAACGAGGGCAGACGTCTGGTCGCTAGGGGTACTGCTCTACGCCCTGCTAAACGGGTTTCTCCCGTTTGACGACGACCACACCCCCTACCTCTACAAACTCATTCAGGTGATGATGTCACGTGATAGGGCGATGATGTCATGTGCATTGATACATACATAACCCCACATGTGTGTGTCTCTCATTGGCTAACCGTATAGCTTTTCTATTCAGTACATATTCCCTGACGAGGAAGACGTTTCTTTGCTTTGCTTTGATGTTGACACATGTAAAATATGCTCACTTGCTTATTTTCAACTCTCTCTCTCTCTCTCTCTCTCTCGTCTTCCCTCTTCTCCCTCCACGTGCACAGAAAGGAGAGTATGAGACACCAGAATGGCTGAGCCTCGAGAGTATCAGCATTATCAAGAAACTACTGCAAGTGAGTCACACCTACACACTGTACTGTGGTAACTCAAGGATGGTCTCAGTACTCGTGCCGGGAGGGAATGAGAGGAACAACTTCTTTCGGTCTTTTGGGAGTTGAATAAATTGAAGGAATCATGACCGAAAGTCCAGGACACACTACGCACTGAGTTACACCTCCAAAAGCTGGTCTTCCCTATTCTCTATAGCTAGCTTCTCCCTCTCTCTCTCTCTCTCTCTCTCTCCACACACACACATACAGACCAATCCAGAGAGGAGGATAGCAGTGGACGATCTCCTGTCCAACAAGTGGGTCATGAGTGGCCATCAGAGCGAGGTGGAGTGGGCCAGCAGAATAGACGTGAGCCTCTCTCTCTCCCTTAACCCCCTGTCCTTGTTACTCTCATCAGCTATAGACTGCACTCTTTTAGTTACTAGTATTATAAATACTGCCGTCTGCTTTGCATTATTCCACAGTCTAGCTTTTCTTTTCTTCCCTTTAACTGTCTGTATTTGCATTGGTAACGGTAGAGCCATAAAAGACATGCTTGGACCATGAAAAGTTACACTGAATTATTATAGCACTGCATGAGTAGAACGGTGTTCTTCATTTAGAGGGTCCATTAAAAGAGGTTCTCTTCCATTCTGCCATTGCTGCACTGTCTACCTCTTGCTCTCAGCTATCTGAACTGGACACTGAGTGTGTGAAGGTTCTGGCTGACTACAATGGATACTGCTACGAGGCCATGGAAGATGACTTGTGCAAGGTACAGTTTGGAACTACTTCGTAATGACAACTTAAAATGAGGACACCTCTCCAATAAGGACACCTCAGTAACAATGACACTTTCTTCTGTCCCATTGGTGTCTGAATAAAGGTATTTGAGGTTGATGATGAAGGTATGCTGACTTGGTCGCTATAAATACAGCCAATGTTTGTCAACCGTTGCCGGCTCTGTTGAGTGGTTACTTCGCTGTATTGGTAGACAAATTCTGGCCCTTGGGGTAGGAGTCCCGCCGGGTTCGAATCCCGGGCGAACCACTGACGCCGTCCGGCATTTTTAATCCTTTTCCCACTACCTATCCATCCCTTGTTTTATCTTTTCCGTCACACTAGTTTATTGGTGTTTGCGGACAATTAGAAAGTAGTATTTTCTTGAAATATTTAACATCATTCCATGAATGTTTATTTTGATCCATAGTATGCTGCAATATACTTAGCACTGTTTTGAACCACTACTGTTTATTATTATGGAGAACATAATCATTACGATAAGGCAAGCATATCTTTTGTGCATTTTCATAAGCTTGTATCACTAGTATGTGACACATAATAGCTGCTATATACTTACCTTGTCCATGCTTGGGTACAAAGGTACTATTGTCTATACCTAGTTAGACGGCAGTCCAAAGATGTTGGCTATGAATAGGAGAAATTCAGAGCACCTCGTGCCGGCTAAGCCAAGAGGCTACTTCGTTCTGTTGTCATGGCCAATGATAATACGTCCACCTCACTAGCCACTGGCGCTGTCCGGCATTTTACGTCTTATTTTTTCCACTCTTTTTTCTGTTGTACTTTAATCATCACCGTTTTTCTCTGATTTTTGAGAATGTGCATGTACTGATTTCGGATTTTATTTTGGATCTTCACTTTCCTGTTCTCTCCCTTTATTTCCTCTCCTCTCTCTCTCTCTCTCTCTCTCTCTCCCGGAACAGTGGCGATATGATGAAACGACGGCCGCTTATCTTCTGCTCCTCCAACAGAAACTTCGTGGCAAGCAACCAAAGATTCTTCTTCCTCCAAAGTACGACACATTCCTAACTCAAATAGTGGAATATTCATACACCCTCTTTCTCTGGCATCGTATATACACAATACCTGCCTGCCATTTATATATATCCATTCATCTCTCTCACTATAGGAACAGTGTAGTTGTCACTACTAGAGTGGGCAGTGACCTGATGTCTCCTCTACTCACTAGTATGGTAAGATATATCCACCACTACACGCTACTGGTCATCTAACAGTCCCTGTGCTCACATACAGTACTACATTTGTGTGTACCAGGCATTTGTGATTGCATAGTTGGCTTTACATTTGCCACATTCCTGCTAGTGGCCCCATGCAGATTGGGCTATATACAAAATCCAAAATCAGAGCACACATGTAGGGAGCAAACTATCTTTCCTCTACACTAGTTGTGCTGTTTTCATTCCCTTCACCTTGTGACTTTGTTGAGATACGTACGTTTGACTGCAGGCACCGAAAGAGCTGTCTTCGTCATCAACGGAAACAGAGAGAGAGGGAGAGAGGAGAGGGAGGAGGGAGGGAGGTGAGAGGGAGAGAGAGGAGGGAGAAGAGGATGAGGACGAGGAGGGATTCCACACGCCAGAGGAAGAACCAGGGAAAGAGAACGCACGCCCTGCTGACCCCAACTCAGGTAGAGCAAGTGAACACATTTTGCGAGAGTAATTTTTGCGTTTTTGTTCCACTCTCTAAAAGTAATGAATAGGGACAGCGACATAGGGCCTTGAAGATTGAACACGCAAGCTACAATAGTCACTATTCCCTATTATCTCTCTCTCCCTGACAGCTGCATCCCCGCCACCCCAGTCAGGGACCAGGAGGATATCGCTGGGTCAACCCATGCACCCTCCGGACGGGGAGATGACACGACTGGCACTACAGAAACACCTGGAGAGACTGGTTCCGCAGAGGCTGCAGCCTCCCTCGGAATTGGTATGGGGGTATGGAGTATGGGGTATGGGGTATGGGGTATGTGAATGAGGTATCCAAGTGAACTTGAAAAGTCATTTGTATGAAGGCCAAAGTTTTGCTGTATTGCAATGCCTTTTGCAAAAAATGGCTGATTGCCCAAAATTGTGGACACACTCCAAAATTATCGTAAATCAGTTGGAAGTATGCACACAGTATTTTATGCACTGCAGAAAATGCATCTACTTCAACACGTCCTCCCATAGATGTTAATTAAAGAGGGGCTCCTATATAATTATGTCATTGTCTGATGGGCAAATACTATATAATAGGGATGGTGTCGTGTGTCAAAACTGAGTAATGGCCCTTTCTTTCTTCCTTTTGGTCCTTCAACTCATCCCTATACCCCTTCATTATTTCCACTTGTACACGTGTACTTCAAACTCCTGAACTCCAAACTCCATACCCCATACCTCACACTCCATACTCCAGAACCCTATGATGACAGCTCCCCACGTTCCCTCACTCCTTACGACGAAGACGAGATATTCATGAGCGGCGCCATGTCCCTCCCTCCGAATGCAGTCAGCTTCCTGGCCACGCCCACCAGGTCAAAGAGATCGACTGCATTTCCGTTCTCCCCATCTTCAGACTTCAGGGTGATGTATTCCAGTCTGAAAAACCCCGTGAAGAAGTGGGTTTTTCTATTTCTGTACTATCGAATGAATGAAGTTTTGTACAGTTTAAATTTATTGCCAGAGCTAAAATTGTGCAATCTGGTGTTATTTTCTCGCTCCAGAACCTGTTCGTATGACGCTCAGTTGAACAGGATAGTCCACGACCCCAAGCACTCCCTGCTACCTCAGTCATCCACTCCTCAACCCACTCGCAAGGTATGACTTATAAAACACCCATATACCTGCACACAAAACACACATTTCCATTCACCGAGAGAAGAGACATAATATTTTTGTTGACAATTAACCAGCCACGGACACATAAGTGTCCAGAGCCTTCATAAGTAGATAAAGGGGTTATAATACTAGGCGCTAATACAATTTCTGCTTATTTAAGCAGCTACCCATGATGGCATCCAAACAGTTAATGTTGGTGATTAGAGGAGTTAATACGTATTGTTGTTTGTTTTTTCTCAAACAGAAGAGAATGGGAAGTATTCCTGGTCAGCTACTGAAGAAGGCAAAGAGGGTCTTCACTCCACGCAGCATTCGCCGCAACGACCAGGGAGAACCCCGTAGGATCAAGGTAATTATGACGTAATTGTGATAGCGTAATGATGACATCATCATCGACGTAGTTACATGTAATTTTATGACGTAATGATGACATCATTGTGGTTGTCTCTTCAGGGGGTGTATGATGTGACGTCGACGTCGATGAAGAGTCCAGATTATGTGTTGTCTGAGATTGAGAGAGTACTCAGTGACATGTCCATCGAGTACAAGAGAAAGAAGTTAGCCTCTCTCGTCTAGTCTCTCTCTCTTCTCTCTCTTGCCTGCTTCATGTCTGTCTCCCAGTCTCGACCCTCCAAATAACTATATAGCACTATTACAGATGACCTCCCCCCTTCTCTTCACAGCTACCTCCTCCGCTGTAAGTACAGCAAGATATCGACCGACAAGAGGACAAAGAGAGTAGAGTTTGATCTGGAAGTCTGCTTCATCCCCACCATCGACATGATAGGTAGGGGACACCTCGCACTCCCTCTTTCATCTCTCTCTCAGTTTCTTTCTAAAGCTTGATAAAACCACGTCGCGTAAGACAATGTTTATCCGACTTGCAAACCTATGGGAATTATAGCCCCCTCACTCAATGTCTCTCTCTCATCTCTCCTCTCTCAGGAGTGCGCCGCAAGAGGATGAAGGGGGACACGTGGGATTTCAAGAACGTCTGTGGAGAGATCTTTAGACTAATACACATCTAGTATCCCACCCTCTCCTCTCGCCTATGTAACAGTCTAGTTCACTATTGTACTAACCCTCCACTGGACACTTTGTGCGTGTCTGCTGGGTAGCTGATATACAATAGCCTCACTTATTATTATTATAATTATACTGGCTGTCTTACCAGTTTAATAAGATTTTTATGACATGGCCCTTATTTAGTATTTATACCAGTTTTATTATTTTTTTTTATGACATGCACTCTCTAAATTATACACGTAAAGAGTAATAGTTAATGTACGGAAGTCAGTGCTGTGCGCGTAATAATGGTACGAGGGGCGTGGTCGAGATAGTCCTATATACAGCACGAGGCGCGCAGCCGAGTTGCTGTATGATCTGCTGTATGATCTGCTATCGAATAAAATGGTGAGCTATAATAATAATATGAGGTTCTATACCATAATTATTGCGGTGATAGGGAGATCCCTGTACATATGCAACACTCTGTTACTGATATAGACTAGAGGGTTGAAGTGTATATATAAGTCAGAGTGAGGCTAACGTTGTAATCAGGTCCTTGGGGCTCTGTCTGCCAGTACATATCATATGTACTGCAGCCATCAGTGGAAACCTGCAGCAACAAAATAATCATGGAATGGTGCAGTATCTTCGGGCTAAAATTAGTAACGTTACTAAACGTGTTTTTCCACCTAATGACAGTTGTAACAACTGCATTTTACTATGAATACACCCATCTGAGTGCGATTAAGAATGCATGGAATGGAATGCAATTAAACAGAAACACCTTTAATATTAATATCTCCCACTCTGAACAAATGGTGTCATGGAAAAGGTGAGACAAAAGATGGAGAGGTAGTGGAAAAAGGGTTAAAAAATGCCGGACGGCGTCAGTGGTTTGAGGATCGTCCAGGATTTGAACCCAGATGAACCGGTTGAACAGACCAGTTTTGTAACCATACAAGCGAAGTAACCACTCAACAAAGCCGGCAACAGGTGACAAACTTTGCCAGTATTTATAGCGACCAAGTCAGCTCAATTCTAGAGCTAAACCACATTGTAAAGAACGTGGCATGAGGTTCTTAGCACTACAAATGCTGTACTTCAATGTATGGGTGTGATGGGTCCATCGATACATGCATGTTGCATGTAAAGACAAATGCTGTACTTCAATGTATGGGTGTGATGGGTCCATCGATACATGCATGTTGCATGTAAAGACAAATGCTGTACTTCAATGTATGGGTATGATGGGTCCATCGATACATGCATGTTGCATGTAAAGACAAATGCTGTACTTCAATGTATGGGTGTGATGGGTCCATCGATACATGCATGTTGCATGTAAAGACAAATGCTGTACTTCAATGTATGGGTGTGATGGGTCCATCGATACATGCATGTTGCATGTAAAGACAAATGCTGTACTTCAATGTATGGGTGTGATGGGTCCATCGATACATGCATGTTGCATGTAAAGACAAATGCTGTACTTCAATGTATGGGTGTGATGGGTCCATCGATACATGCATGTTGCATGTAAAAGACATGTTGCCATGCGACCCATTATACCCATACATTTGAAGTCACATGACAAGTAGTTCATAAGAAACACACAGGCAGCTCTTACATAATCTTACATAATTGCATTCAGTACACAGGCAAACATTGTGCAGTTACTACTGACTTACTCTTCAACCTTGCCATCGTTGACTAGCACCTCATGGACCTCCTTAGCTGTCAGTGGGCCCTGCAGCTTCTGACCTACTTGCAAACATCTCGGCTGTCAGCTCTGCATATTGCGGCTGACGTGGATGGGGAGGAGGGAGCGAGGGACGGGGAGTGAATGAGGAAGAGAGGGAAGAAAAGATAGAGAGAAAGAAGGGAAGAAAGTTGAAATGTGTGTCGTGATAAAGTGCAAGCGGGAAGTGACCGGAGGGGACAGAGACAGGAGTGCGAGAGAGCAGACAAGAGAGACGGAGCACGAGAGAGTCAAGAGAAAAGGAGTGAGAGGAAGGAGAGGAACACAGTGCACAGTAGTGACAAAGAGCTCAGACACCCTCCTATGGCGGAAAAGAGGAGAGCAGCGTGGTCAAAGGAGATCAGCGATAGAGCTGAAAACAAGGTGAGCCACAGAAGGGGAGCCGCAAGGAAACAGATGACGAGAGGTGGGAGGGGAGTGGAGGGAGAGAGTTAAAAGAAAGCTTCTGAAAAGCAGACAAAGGGAGGCAAAGGAAAAAAACCATGCTCTAACTACATAACTGGGAGAGTCAATATATTTTCCAGAATGTAATTAGAAAATGGTATTATGATGTCAAGAGATGCTTGACAGATGAATAGCTATGAGGTCATTTTGGGCTACGACAGCTACTCGGCGGTCTCTTAGCGATAAGACACCTGCGGTTAGGTGTCTTAGTTCTAACTAAGACCATCCCGTTTACAGTAGAGCAAAACCGGGGCGTCAGAAGCGACGATACACGACGTGAGAATGCTCAGACAAGGCCTGACGAGACAGTTGCGATGCGCTATAACAGTCATTCTCAGTCATCGTCGATGAAGTCTTAGACAGTGCAGGGTGTGAATCGGGAGGCCTCTCCCCTGCCGGGCTACCGTTGAAAAGTTGAGGCGCCGCCGCGGCTTGAGGAACTCTCCTCCCCGGTGCTTCTTCAAAGAGCGCCTACCAACCAAGGTTGAGGCGGACGAGCTACAGCCAACCGTACGGCTATCGCTATTCTCGTTTTAACAAGGTAAGACGGCAGATTTCGAGTGTCTTCGTGGTTCTGCAGCCTGCGTGGTCGGTTGGAATGACGCAAAGAAACTCGCCTCCGCCCTCGGTTACTATTGCGCATTCCAACCTCCCACGCGGGCTTTAGAACCACGAAGACACTCGAATCTGGACCTTATAGTAGAAAGAGATGAATCTCCACATCTCCTGGAGTCCTATTCTTATGACTGCACTCTTGGTACTGGCACCATACCTACCAATAGAACAGTGGGTCTGTAATATAACGTACTATAATAGAACATATTATGGCAAGTGAGTGCGAGCAGTGCATTTTATCGCACGTGCTAAGATAGAATTACGTTTACTTTTTTGAGCGTTACATGGAACATTACTGTATGTGCAGTGGCAGTGTGTGGTACAACATATCTCACATTCAGACGACTAGCTAGGTAGGCTAGCTTCACTTGCCAGCAATAAAAGCTACAACTGTAAGCAAGTGAAAGAATTGTGTGTATATAGCTAAAGTGAGGGTTTGATTGAGTATAGGAATGATGCTTACTTTAGTCCATCCACAAACCCAGCAGCTACTGCGACGATGTTCTGAGAGAGATTTAAAGGAGGAGTGATAAACTCAGTTGGGTGGTCTTTTGTCCGCACTCGTGTGAGCGTTAAGAAATGCAAAGCCAACGTTTTCTTTCGTTATTTAGTTCTTTCCTGAATCTGAGTATACATAACCCTGCCAAAAGACAACCAAACTGGTCATCAGGAGAGTTCCTCATTGTTCATCATGCACTGCATGTTTCGGCCTCTTTATACTCTCGACACACAGTACACTCCCAAATAGATAGTATGCGAGAGTCGATACACGCCCTTCGTTGTGCCTTCAAGATACACAGAGCAAGTGGACACGGTCGAGGATAAAGCCTGTTGAAAATATAAGCGCATGCGCGTTTTCCGCAGCGATAAAAATCTCGTTCTGACACTGCAATTGCACCATCTCAAATTGCAGTGTGGGTATAGATATTTCATTTTTTATGTACCACCTTTAGGAAACCAAGGCAGAAGCACACAGGAAGATGTAACTGGTAATGGCCTATGCTTGTTTATACACAATACATTAAGAAATGGTATCATTATGTGTCATATGCTTGTATATGCATTTGGAGACAGAACGCAGTGCCACAATAAAGACAACACAACAAACGGACTGATTTAGAAAATGTTTTTATTGAATCACACTCAAAACCACTAGTGTCGACCCCTCTCTAAGGACACTCCTGAATATAGGACACCACTTTAATACGAGACTGCTCTTGCACGCAATTTAACCCCTAGGAAACGACACCTCACACAATATTAATACACATGTATGCTCAATTTCTTCTGTCCCATTAGTGTATGAATTAAAGGGGTTCCATTGTTATGTGATTGCCATACCTCATCTTACCATAAGTGAATAGCCTGTTCCCAGTGAGAGGAACATCTCTGAGAGTACCCACGTGGTTGAGAACTGCCACATTATGTCCATTGCTCAGTAGGTAGTGGACAAATGATCTGATGTAGAACGTCTCGCTGCAGTTTCCTATGTCTATAATATAGGGAGAGAGAGGTTCAAAGCTTGCACAGAGTTTGGCTGCAATAACAAAGCCACACCCCCCACTCCCATACAAGTTCTCTGTACAGTAATGTGTGTGTTGCATGACTTGGCAATAAAAAAACAAATTCCTGCCTGTCTTCAGCAAGTGCAGGCTTTCCTCAAAGCAATAGCATATCATACCTCACAACCACACAAGGTTTCTAACATGTAAAGGACACGATACACAATGAAACTCTATGAGATTGAGTCTCATGCAACTTCAAATGGGTATGATAGACCATTCAACTCAGCTGCATGAAATAGAAGGAATTTCTATTACATCTCATGGACACATGATATTCATACATTGAGAATGCTTGAGACAAACTCTCATACAAATGTTTGGTGTCGTGTGTATATATAATGGTCCTGCATGAGCACATATATACCAGGACAGAGGAGGAAGAAGAGGGAGGAGGTGGTGGGGTGCTGTGGCTGGTAGAGGTCATAGGTCACAGTGGACCCATCGGGAGTGGAGAGAGACTGTCTATCTCCCACGGGAGATGGGACAAAGACGTGGCCCACGAGGACGTTGTAGGCCGTCTGGATATGACCACTGTCTCCCCACAACAGTGGAGGTCTGTACCTGCACTCACAGAAATAAGGGCAAATTTACACACGTGTCAGAGAATGCATTTCTCAAAAATGGTAACTATACACTATGTTTACGAACTTAACGTGATTTGTGTATATTCACCGCATTTCAAAAGTATTGTTATGGTACAAATCCATTGTGGGTGTCAGTGAGTATCTTCTGACATTGAAAAAGGGGAGACCATATATACAGGCAGGTCCTTATCCTTTCCCTATACCTTATCGCTTACTCTTGTCCTATTACTCTCCTTCCTCACCTAACCCCGCCCCTCTTCCTTTCTCTCTCTTCGGAGGTGTATCTATACACATACTAACTTGTGGGTGAGGGTTGTGCATGCCCGGACGATATCGGGACAGAGATGGGAGTCCTTACGATAGCGGACGGAGGGTCTTCGTCCCGCGTCTCGCCACCAGAACCTGGAAACTGTGAGGTAGAGGCCCCGCAGGAAGACGAGGAGGACTAGGAACGCCGCCAGCGACGAGAGCATGACGACATTCGATATTACCTCCTCCTCCCCTCCTCGATCCTCTACCCACCGACGCGCGACCGCGCCTTTGATAGCTAGCCGGCCACGTGGGTGCGCGCGCTCATTCACACGAGCATGCGCATTGAATCACTAGACGTCACTTGACGTGTTTAGCAACGCTACATAAACCGGCCCTACTTCCTTGACAACTTCATTTTTGTCTTCTTTTGCAGCTGCGCTAGTTGTGCTGCTTTCGAGCAGAAAAGAAAGGAGATTTTGTTGTTTAGCCAGTCGCCCGAGGCCAGTAATGTAGTCGGCCGTCGTCTCTAACAGTAAAGTGCACGCTGTGAGTGTTGTCGCAGTGTAGGTCGTAGAGTGTTTCCAGAGCTGAGGGCGAGCAGTAGCGTAGCTAGTTGTAGTGTCGTCTCTTCCAAGAAAGTGTAGGCTGTAGTCAGGTAGCGAGAGAGAGTCGGTAGTCGGAGAGAGTGGCCAGAACTGACGGCCGCTAGCTCCTCCAGCCATGGCCTCCCCTCGCCCCTCGCCTCACGGCAAAAAATGTGAGCTGATTCCCATTCTCTACTTCTTTCTACTATTTTTAGTAGACAGGTTCTGAACTAAAAATACCCATAACCAAATAAGGAAGTGCAAAAACTACAATTTCCCGCCCACAGAATTGTTTCGTGAGAAAGGGGTTAAATTTGGTTTTGCTGCGTTGTAGTGGGCAAGGGGTTAATTTGATAGCATAGTAGTTGAGGGGTTAAAGAGAGAGGGTTAAATGTCGTGTGGTTGTCTCTGGTGTGTAGATATGATGTTCACCAGAAACAATGTCCAGAGAGCTGTCAGGAACGTGAGGAGGACTGATGGTCTGGGGTCTATTTGGGTGTCCCTGTGAGGAGAGTGGAGGAAATTGAGAGTCAGTTCAGAGGAGATGAGGGACGACAGGTGGAGAAATATGTCACCTACTTCATGGACCACGACCCACTAGCCTCCTGGAGACGAGTTATTGTTGTTCTTGATCGATGGAAAGTTTGGAGAGAAAGAGGCTGCAGATAAGATACGACATCTGGCGGAGTCTGTCACAGGTGAGGAAAAGAAAAGTGCCTGAGGCTATTTGTTGTTGTGGTCGTCTTGGAAACGATGTATCTGGCATGGTTACTGATGTGTGTATTGCCATGTTATGTCCTACTCTCTGTGCAGACCCCACACTCACTATCAACAACCTCCGTCACGTCACCTCTTCAGTCCAGGACTGGTATGATCTGGGGGACTATTACTATGGTCTTGGTGTTCCTGATCCTGTGCTGGATGAGATCAGGAGGATCCTGCCCTGACAGAGGAGGAGAAGAAAACAAAGGTCCTACTCTACTTCCTCCACAATGTCCCGATGGCCTCCTGGGAGAGAGTTGCAGGAGCACTGTACTACATGAAGGAGGAGAGGGCATTACAGGCAGTGAAGGAGTTCCTGCCAGTCTCACCAGGTCAGTCCTGCTGTGTCGTCATAGCCTCGCCGTCCCTAGCAACAGCTATGTTCTCCCGTGGTTACCGTGACCTTTGACCTTCAGTATGAATCGTGCAGTCCCGTTCCGTTTGCCGTTTTCCGCGGCTGTATATAGTTTTGCCTCGTGTATCGTTTCGTTTATATGCCCCGACTGTCCCGTCCAACGCGGTCCGAGTCGTTTATGCGCCTTGACTGCCGTCGACGGCAGCGATTAGCGTTCGAGTTCTTTAGCGATCTGGGGTTACGCCCACTTTTGAAAAGGCGTCCCAGGGTCTTGCGTAAGGAGGCAGCCTAGAGAACGATGCCGCGTCTGGGAACGGAAGGCGCTCCAGCGAGGTGGCTTTCTCGAGAAAAAAGCGGCACTTCGACTCCGCGCGGTACTCCACGCACGGATACGAAACGGAACGGAACGGAACAGTATGCGAGCGATATGGAACGCCGTTCGGTAACGTTGCACCCCAGTTTAGTGTGTTATGGTAGCAATCGTTACTTGCATGAAGCACAAAGACTTGCCTGGCGTTGTCAGCAACCAGCAGCTTGTTACACAAGAATTTCTCTCTCCTGTTGTGTTCCCAGAGGCCAGTCTCACTCCAGAGAACCTCTCCACAGTTCTAGACATCATGAGTGACGCTCTGTGGAGGACGTTTGGTGGATATGCCAACATACCAGACTCTGAGTTGGACAGGATCGAGGCACAGTGTACCAGTGACAGAGAGTGCAAACAGGCCCTCATTCTCTCCTTCATCTCCTCACATCCAGCACCATCCTGGACTCTTGTGGCATGGGCTCTCTACATGACTGAGCGGTACAAGGGTGACGGCAGTTGTCTCAGAGCATTGGATCACCTGCAGCAGCTGTTCCCCACTGGTACAGTGGACTTTCTTGGTTGGTTGACACTCCCTTCAACATGTACACTTTACTCCCGTGCAGGAAGATTCCGCTCCAAACAGATCTACGAGCAGGAGATGAAACGAGGCCACATTGAGCTGGACCTGGACAAAATGCTGCTGTTTGGCACGGCTGGCAGTGGCAAGACGTGCTCCCTCGCTGCACTGCTCGGAGTGGACCCTCCCACCATCCGACACAGCACTCCAGTCATGAAAAGACCAATCGAGGTCGTGTTCGTGGACGTCGACGGCAAAAAACAGTGGAAGAAACGAACATTAGACCAACTGCCAGACGCCATCGCTGAAGTAAGCGGTCGCGGATGCCACGGCAAAAGTAAGGGAAAAAGAGCTTCTTAAGGGTCTTCTTTTGGGACAAAGCTAGAAGAAAATTTTCCCCTTTCTAATTTCTTCCTATATATTTTTTTCATCTTAACCGCCCCCCCCTCCTGCCCCTCGCCCCTTTTCCCCTTTCCCCCTTTCACCCTAAATCGCATGTGTTTCTCTTTTCCATTCCCCCTCTCACACCCTCCGACATCCTCTCAATAATTTCTGTAACCCTCCGCCACATTTCCTCTCTCCCCTTATTCACTCCCTTCCACCGCCGCTAGCCTTGTATACCTTATTTTTTTCGCTGCTCCCAATTCCCTCCATTTTTACACGATCAAGCTATACTCACCTTCTACTTTAATCCTTCATCATTCTTCCGCTACTCCCCCCTTTCGTCTTTTCCCACCCAAGCTTCCTCTCCCCTGCTGTTGCCAAGGTTTCCCCCCCTTAGCCCTGCCCTTTCTCCGAGACCAGCAGTTCCCAACACCGCAGCCAGCCAGTCAGTCAGCTCAAGCCAACAGCAGAGAATACGAGTTAGCTCCACGTCT